AGGCATCCATTCCTCGTCGTCATCGTCATCATCATCGTCATCGCTTGGACATCAATCCCCAAGCATACCTCAAAAAGGACCTCAACTCGGCGGTACAAGCTGCTCGGGTAACAACCCTTGCTGGTTCAGAAGTAAAACATGCATTTGATGCTCGAACAGTCACAGACCGTAGGTCCACGGACAGGCGGGCAGACCCGCGGACTTCTCGTCTTTTTTCTTATGCGTGGACATGACATTTGCCTACTTCCACCGAGTAAGGACATATTCTCCGCCCAACCGATAAATAAGACATCTCGATGACTGCAGCCAGTTCTCGAGTGCATTTCTCCAGCACGTGAGCGCTTGATGCGTCCATATGCCACGCTTTGCGCTCGTTAAAATAAAGCAATGAGGACCTTTAAAGCCATATTGCTTGATGATAATAATATTGCTGAAGGATCCTAAATATTAACAATAAGGAGTTGTTAATTTTTAGTATCATGATCATAGAGCCGCGGGAAATCGGATTGGTGCAGCCAGGTACGTTGCATGCTGTAACGTTTGACAACTTTCTAACCCGTGCGCTTCATGATATCTGACCCAAGCAATAATGAACTAAATCCGCCCGTTCGGAGCTACTGCTGCAAGCGATATTTTCGTTAAAAAATGCCGGTGGTCACCGAGACAGGGATTTCAGGGATTTAACGAGAGGCGGCAGTATTGTTTGGATTACATTTATAGTCATCAACTGCGCCAATGAAACATTCACGATGGGTTGTGTTGGCAGGTGACCTACACTCGGAACTTGCGTGAGAAAATGTTCGGATGCAGTCAGTACGGGCATCTGATTCTTTCTTTCGGGGGCTGCCTCTTCCAGATGCAAGACGGCTTTCACATGCAATCAAACCACAGGGAAAAAGCGGCTAATTGGGCTGTTGACACATAGTGCGCAAAATCTCCATTGACGAGACCACAGAGCACACCAGTTACGAAATTGGCAGCGAAGGTTAGAAGCAGGTTCCGCGGCGGTCAGCTCAGCGGAACCGCGCGGGTCATCGAGGTCAGTGGACCGGTAACTAAGAGCTATAGTTCTAGACATATGACCACTTCGACGAACATCCGACGTGAAGCACGTAAATGTCTTGCAGTGACCAGGCGGAGAAGTACGAACTTGGAAGTTAGGCGCCGCCACACCACCGCATGACAACACCAGATCCAGAACAGCGGCGTCGTGAGAAGGCGGTAACGCCGTCTGATCCAAACCGTGAGCAGCGGCACCGTCCAGAAGTTGAATAGCTCTGAACGATCTTCTGAAGAGGCAGGACCACCCCTCACAGGCTTTTGCATCTCGTAAGATTAAGGTCTCCGATTCGTAGTGGTGAGTGGTGAGTTGCTCGCACCTCTGCGACAAGCTCGAATAATATCTCGATGTAGTTGTTGGGCTCCGACGGGCAGTTCCAGAACGCCACCTTCACAGATGATCGGCCTCCTATGCAGAGCGACGAGTAGCAGGCAATCTTACCCAAGGTCCACGCGCGGCGGTTCGGGCACAGCGCGGACCGAGTCACACGCGCGACTCGGCCGCCATACCCACCACGGTTCTTCCCAGCCTAGAACGGACGGATGTCGTACATATGCAGATGCCGTGCATCAAAGACAGATGTCTCACTGCACATATGTCGGGTAGATGTGATTGGGCCAGCCGTTCTGCAGCTCGGTATATTGGCCGCCAGCCATGCATCGGCAACGACAATATACCATTTGTTTGCAGTCTTCCAGCTTGTGCTCGCAGTATGCGCAACCTGTTCTGTATGGCAAGCACGCTCCGAGGCAGTCCTGACACGGCTTAGGGGCCAGAAGTCATCTATGCGTCTTAGGGCAGATACAGCTGCGGCATACATGAGTCAAACGCTGAGTCAGTTCGCCCTGGTAAGCGCAACGGGCTCCAAAGAATCTTCCAAAGTTCCCCGACTGTTACCGGTCGACTACATTAGAGGCAACCTTCGGGGCTGGCGGTTTGTTGACTCCTGGCCAATGGTGGCTGCTGGTGGCTGGCACCAGCAGCACTGCCAATAACGCCCCCGTGGAGACCAATGAACTGGCATTGTGGCTGATATCAAGAGATCGCCCAGGCGTCCGGCGAGCTCAGCGTAATCCAAGGTCATCTGCGACCCGACACAACAATGGACGTGCGGTTAATGTGGAGCAGGAGCAACTTTTTAGGCAGTCGCTTAAAGCTGCGAGCTGCCTGGGCTGTAACACTAACAGATTATTTCAGAAAATCCTAGCATATTCCGAGGAACCCTATTCATTCCGTAAATTGGGCAGACTGCATTCCTGTTTGAGATGGGGTAGCTTTAAAACAGGTCAGCTGACGGCGGACACAGATAGACTGTCTGCGTTAGACATGACTTGGTTAATGTGAGCCGAGAAGGTTGGCTTTATCATCACTTAGGCACCTACATCACGTGCCCCGGAGCCGCGATCAACTGGCCACAAACAGAGCACAGTACGGCGATGTGGCGATACTGATCACGCCTCAGCTAGTCGCAGTCGGACGTGGTAGTCCTCACTCGGCGATGTGGCGGTACAGATCACACCTCAGCTAGTCACAGTCGGACGCAGCAGTCCTCACTCGGCGATGTGGCGATACAGATCACACCTCAGCTAGTCGCAGTCGGACGCAGCAGTCCTCACTCGGCGATGTGGCGATACAGATCACACCTCAGCTAGTCGCAGTCGGACGCAGCAGTCCTCACTCGGCGATGTGGCGATACAGATCACGCCTCAGCTAGTCGCAGTCGGACGTGGTAGTCCTCACTCGGCGATGTGGCGATACAGATCACACCTCAGCTAGTCGCAGTCGGACGCAGCAGTCCTCACTCGGCGATGTGGCGATACAGATCACACCTCAGCTAGTCACAGTCGGACGCAGCAGTCCTCACTCGGCGATGTGGCTTGTCATTCACAGACGTGATGCACGTAAACAGGGGTGTCGAATTTTGTAGGTTTATGGGGTGAGCCGAGCCGAAGGTCAAACAGCCTAATCCTTCTTCTAACCTAACCCTAATCTTCGTATGATTTATAAGTCTTTAATTGAAGCAGTATGGAAGCCATGCGGGATTGGATCAAGGGAGCAGGCACTGGACGCACGCGTCTCCTCTGGTCGTCACGCAAAGGCGCCCCTTTACGAACCACCTTAGTGCGCCGATGGCACTCTTCTTTGGGGGTCATGAGAGGTGGTACCCATTTCGGTTGTGGGGACGGGGATGGGGTGAGCCATGAAGGACTTAGTAATCCCCATATTCCAGAGCTTTTCACTTTAACCTCACAAACCACTGCGCGTCGTGTGGCGCTAGGCATGTGAAGTTTATTGCATTGTTTATCGGCTCAGCTGTTACGATTTGTATCTGGTGGTGAGAGCATCCATGACTTTTTGTTATGAGAGTGGTACGAGACGCCACTACGCAGAAAGATAAACTTTTCTTGGCCGCTTGAAGCCAGCGGCCAAGAAGAGGCTGCTGAGGAGGCATGGACATAACCATGACAGAACGGTTTTCACACACCACTCACATCGACCTGCAGCGCACCACCACGGCTCTTACACGGCCTTGGCCAAGATCTTGTATGGGGCGCCAGTTCAAGCTAGCGGAAAGCCACGCCCCGCTGCCGTGAATCACGTACACCAGTCATGCCGCAGACGCCTATGGCATACCTCGCTTGCAAGTCATAAGAAACACTGACAGAAACACTGCATCCCTGGTTACCGCTTAAATCAAGCTTTGAAACACTTCAGTGCTGCGCCGAATGCGATATTTCAGCTGCGACGTCGCGACGGAGCGCGCGGCGCGGCGGCGGCGGAGCCCCAGGCGCCCAGTGACGTCATCGCCCTGCACTGAGCCGCTCGGCATCTCACCAATGGGATATCCCGTGTTGACCCCAACCCCGTCCTGGCCTTGGCCACGGCCACGGTTCTTTTAATGGCGGCGACACCACACACCATGCAGCGCGTGACTTTCAGTAGGACGCCTCCGCTGAGGAGAAATCCAAATAGCAAATGAACGCTAATCTAACGAGGCCAACCTTGCCAAGTTGCACGCTCTCTTGATATCAAACATAGAAAGGAAAAGGCATGGTTGTGAATGACACCATATTTGTAGCTTGAACAGGGAACCACGTACGTCGTATTGAATGGTAAGGGTTCGCAGCAATGGGAGTGGTGTGTTCCGAAGCCTGAGCTGGCTGCAAGTACAAATTTTGGAATTTGTGAGCTTTGATGCCTTTTAACCTGACATAGTGTCACCAACTTTCCAACTGCAACAGGAATCGGGTATGAGGCATCCAGTAGCGAAGGTATGGCAGCGATTGGTGCCGTAGGCTATGAGAAATGGATTGTCTGCAGGCAAGAGTATTTATTTTTTAAATGATGAGTTTCGACCTGACCCAAGGTCACCAAAGTATAAACTGCAGGAGGGAATCAGGTATGTTCAGGTGCGGCCTATTCAATGGTGAATGTCTTGCAGCGATTGGTGCGGTAGGTTCTGAGATCTGAGATATCTGCCTTTGCATGTGAAATTTTCCTTTTGCGTTTTTGAGGTGTCTGCTGTCAGATCGGGTCTCGATATTGCCGCCCTCATATCTACCTTATCGTGCTGAATCGATTGGAAGAGGTTTTGCAATCGGACGAGCGGTTTCAGACGACGATCGTATCTGCGCCAAATGTCGGCTTTTGACACGCGTCCGGGTGGCTAGTTGGATACCCTTCACTCGGAGGGGGGAGCAATTTCACTCACACTGAGATCTCAGGAATTAAG